TCTAGCCATTATCTCCGTAACCGTTCAACTTTGGACATAGGTGTTTTGGGTTATATCAGCATACTTTAACATAAGGAACACCCTCCCAAAGTTTGGCACATTCCTCCTGGGACACCCTGTATATATCAGCAAGTAACTCCCCGCTGTGACCAAATGTTATATTTATATAAGGCAGGACAGGTGCTCATTTTGGGAGTGCTAACAGTTTCATCTTCCTTTTGAAACCAAAATATACCCATGCAACGTCATGCCAGTGGTTCATTCATTAGCTCTGAACAATGAGATCATTTATCACGGTACTGGTTTCACACTATTTACGTTTAGATATGACTGTTTATGACTTGGTCAGCCAAATAGAGCCCAGCTTTGTTTTGAGAACTGAGGAGTAAATATTCATCCAGGCTCACAAGTTAGTGCTTCAAGAGCTTTCAAGGAAGTGTGACCTAGTCAAGGATTGGTTTTCAGTAGCGAATTATCAGTTAGGAAGTCAGTGTTGGATCGTCATATATTTCTTTATCAGTTAGAAAGTCAGTATCAGACTGTCATATATTTCTGTATATATCATTTTAATTTTGTGTCTCGGAAGAGGTATAAACCCCTTGAGCCAGTATTACTTTGTGAGTAGTGTGTCGCTTTGTCAATCAACATAATTTATTCGATTTAGCTGGAAACCCCCCTCCCCCAAGATGATTCTTCAATCGCATGAGGCAAATATCATGGTCAGTGACGTTTCTTAGGAGAGGACAAGTTCATCTGGGGCCCAATTGAGTCAACTGAAGGTGAAATATTCACAACACTGGACAACCAAAGGGAACAAAGATGTCGTGTGTTCACTAAATGTGATGTTGCGCTGTGTCATGGACTGCTTTGAGAAGTGGCACACGCACGTCAGAGTGTAAGGTATCGTATACTGTGAAGTGACACAGTTCAAACTTGTGTACAGTCTGAATAAAATATTATTGCATATAGTGTTATTATATTTACAAAATCACCATGTCTGAAGGTTGAAGAAAAAACTATGGGTAAGTCCTTTGGAATTTCATAATATATATAAGAAAGATTATATTTTGCATTTCACAACAAAATAATCACAGTTAACTTTCATTTGTAAAAATTGCTCTTTTGTGTGTATGTAGAAAATTTTATTGTCTTTCAGGCTGTTTTTAGTTCACATTTCTATGCTGCACAGAACAGAAAGTTTGTAGTTTTTTTCTGAAAGACTGAAATGTTAAAAACTTAGGGCCATTTAAATTCTGGCCTCAGAGGGCTTCAGGCTATTTAAAAGTCTGTACGTTAAGGGTTAATGTATAAATCAAGAAAATCCATATGACAGTGTTCTTTAGTGTGTTCAACTTCTTCCCATTCATTTTTGATCAATTTAAGAGTAGTCTTAATATCAGAGAACTGTTAAAATAACTTTCAACTGGGTCTCCTAATCTCTGTCAACATATAATTACATTTTACACTGCAATAAATTTTAAATGAAGTTCAGAGTGCATAATGCAACTTACTTATAGTACTTAATCCCCTCTCATAAATCTTCTAGAACCTATATAACCTCTTGTGTCTTCCTCACACAGACCACTGCCATTCTCTCTCTCACGCACAAATACTCACAATGCATGTGACTTTAATACAACCATACAAAATAATCACAAACCATTATCACCATTATCTTCATTAGCTGCAAGGTGAGCATCATGCTATTCCATCTCAGAACAAATCATCTCAACTTCTTCTGGGTTATCCTATGCCTCTATCCTACAGGTTTACACTGTATAATTATTTGATCTTTATGGTATGCATTCTGTTCTGTGCCATGATATCACAATTGGGCCCATCTACACAGCACTAATATCTATGAACGTAAACAAAGACAAATCAATACTAATGTATTAACCATACGTTTGCTGTGCAAAGGTGTTTCACTACATGCTTCAACATTCAAGAGATCACCACAGGCGTACTTACAAGAATCCAGGCTTAGTTCTTGACCTGGGCAGCATATAAAATCCAGGGGATTTACATTACCATTGTGGTCAAGATGAGATTGGAAAGCCATCACTGAAGATGAGATGCATGTTCTTCTGGAAATTTCCATGCTCAGAAGCCCACATTATGACCTTACTTTTCAGAAACTGTTTTGGCAACTCCTGTATTTGGGTGTGTAATATCGATGGACCAATTTGAATCAATATGTAAACTTACGCACTTCAACAACAGTGACAGCAAAGTTATATATCTGGGTCTTCCAGAACTTCTCAAAATATACCCAGTGATGTCCTACGTGAACAGGAAATTTCAAACTTTACACATACCAGATCAGATTATTGCAACAGATGAGTCTCTGACACTATGGAAATGGAAGCTTTCAAACAATACATTCCATTGAAGTCATCAAAATTTGGAAGTAAGTCTTATGAGCTTTGCGAATCCAGCTCAGGCTATCTCTGATCCTTCATTATTTATAATGGAAGAGATGTCAGATTTCAGTTAACATTGATATCAGAGAAGAAAAGCAAAACAGCAGCTGTTGTGTTGTCTCTTGTGGAACCACTGCTTGGTAAAGGGATGGACAACTTCTAAAATGAGACAGCATGGGCTGTAACACTAAAATTTATGAAAACTGATTGTGTTGGCACTCTGTGTCCGAACAGGAAACACGTACCAAAAATAGTGAAAGACAATAGATTGAGGAAAGGGGAAACCGTAGCTCAGCATTCTGGCCCAGCATCCGTGTTGAAATGGTGTGACCAGAAAAATGTCACCAGGATCTCAACATATCATGGTGACAAAATGAGAAAGGTGAAAACAAAACGGGAGGAAAGAAAACTGTTTCGAATCTGAAAGATAAGGTCCTTCATGCTCACTTTCTAGAAAGTGAAAAAATGACTAAATGGTACATCAAATTGTTGAGAAGATTGCTCAATGCCACAATTCTCAACTCCATTGTTATCTGCAGAGCAAATTCACAATGGAAACAAATTGATCACCTGAAGTTCAGAACTGATATGATTCACGCTCCAATTCTACAACATGGAGGTGGTGCTGAAAGAAAAGTGGCAGGGTGACATTCCATGGATAACACAGTGCAGAGACTTCTGGAAAGGCAGTTCCCCGAGAGGATTCCTCCAACTGAGAGGAAGTCAATACCAACATAGAGGTGTGTTGTGTGTTACAAGAAGGAGGAGACAGTGTTTTGGTGCCCTGATTATGAGGCCAATCTACGTGCTGAGGGCTGCTTCAAGACTTACCACACAAAGCTGAAATCTATTTCATTTATAAAAACTTCAGTGTATACTAAATATTCTCCTAAAGTTTCATTAAAAACCTTTAATTACTGGGGAAACAATGCCCTTCTGAAACAAATTTAGCATCACAAAACAGAAATTTAAATCCCCAGGCAGAAAATCGTCCCATACCATAGTAGAAACAAGGGATTTAAATGCCACTATGCTGGGGGGTTAACCCTCACACTGCTGTGGTCGACATATATTGATCTCTGAAAAACACGGTGTCCTTGCTGAGATCGACAAAACCCATATTGCGACTATAGTTTCAAATCTCAGGTTTCCTTGCACCAATCTAATTCAAACTTGGTGGGTGCATAGTCATCTATTGGGAATGTAATGAAGCATAATTCATTTGAATGGCTGCATTCTTCTGACCTTTAGCTTAAGAAAGGTAAATGGTTGCATCTGCACAGCAAGGTACGTGCTCCATGGTCATGTGACACGGGTATTTCACAGGGATAGTAAAAATGTCTTCACGTAGAGTGTGGTGCTTTCTATAATAGTTTTAAATAAAGTTGTAGACTTTGGTCAAGATGTGACATAGTGATAAGACTGTGATTCTAGGATAGTGAATTATGTACTTTACTGGCCATCTTGGACAACCCTGACTAAACGGATTTTTCCCCCCTGTGAAAAATACTGAATAATTCAGCATTTTTGCAACTTCTGCTGCCTGTTCCCTGTCTGGGGTAAGATTAGTTACTTTTTATCACACATTTTCATACTTTGCACTTAAATTATTAACAGATTTATTCAAAAATAATTCAGCACTCAGGGTAGTGAGAGTNTCTTCACGTAGAGTGTGGTGCTTTCTGTAATAGTTTTAAATAAAGTTGTAGACTTTGGTCAACATGTGACATAGTGATAAGACTGTGATTCTAGGATAGTGAATTATGTACTTTACTGGCCATCTTGGACAACCCTGACTAAACGGATTTTTCCCCCCTGTGAAAAATACTGAATAATTCAGCATTTTTGCAACTTCTGCTGCCTGTTCCCTGTCTGGGGTAAGATTAGTTACTTTTTATCACACATTTTCATACTTTGCACTTAAATTATTAACAGATTTATTCAAAAATAATTCAGCACTCAGGGTAGTGAGAGTTACTTATCATATTAGTAGTGAAAGGGTTAAAGGACATGCAGCATACTGGGCATCCTGTATCACCAGCAAATGAACACATTGCTCACCTACAGGAACTGCTGGCACACCACAAGACTTGATCATGCCAGGAACTCACGAAACACACAGGCATTAGAGCCCCAAAAGAATGCACCACTTATTTGGTTCATAATTTTAAGAAGTCAATCCACTCACACAAAACATTACAGATTATTGAAAGTACTCACCGTGATCATGGCAAATTTGGTTTCCCAGTTGTTACCAGCACGTGTAGGGATGAAGCGATCACTGCTGTTTATACGCCGTGGACTTTGAGGCATCAGTGAAACAGGTGACTGCAATTATAAAACAGATATCATTAGAACCTCACATTTCTTAATAATATGAGAAAATCGAGAATCTTCCCAATACAGATCTTAGAACATACCATGAATTTCGGAAATTCCATTAACTTGTAAGAAAACAATACTGTGAATCTTATACATGCTATTGTTCCTTCAAAGATGACAAATATGCACTGAAGGAAACAAAAAATAAATTTAAGAATATGAATTAAATAATGAACAATGTATAAGATGTTGGGAATTGAAACACTTATGCCAAGACAAACACACAAAACTTATAAAAACAACCCCACCATATTTCCTTCTAGAAGTTTCTAAACTGCTCCTTTTACTTGACATAAAAGAACAATGGCAAGGGCACGATGTGCCTTTTTTTTTTTTCTAGTGGGGTGGGACTAAGTCCCTTGTACTGCAGCCACTTCTGGCCTATTGTACCAGCCCCAGATGAAAGGTGAGGGTGATTGTGGAGCAATTGGTGGAATGAAGATTGGCAGGGGAAACTGAAGTACTTTGAGAAAACCTGCCCCAGCGCCACTTTGTCCACCACAAATCATACTTGACCAGACCCAGGATTGAACCTGGGCCGCTGCGGTGGGAAGCCAGCGACTAACCGCTTGAGCTATGGCATGACCTCACTATGTGCCCTATTCAAAGATAATACTCTCTCTCTCCCAATTAAATATTATTCACACTATATAATAAATGAACCACATCATACATATCTCAGTATCTTAGTCAATGATAAACATCATTTATTTAATGTAAAGTTACTGAGGGGAACAACATGTAATACAATACATTTGATTTAGTTCAACCTGGTCCCTCACACTAGCAATATTATGAAAGGTTAATGAACTCCGTCCAGTGTGACTGATATTCGATCCTGGGTCTGGTCAAGTGGGATTTGTAGTGGACAAAGTGGTGCTGGGGTAGGTTTTCTCCAAGTACTTCGATTTCCCCTGCTAATCTTCATTCCACCAATTGCTCCACATTCACCCTCACCTATCATCTGGGGTTGGTACAATAGGCCAGAAGTGGCTGCAGTACAAGGGACTTGTACTTAGTCCAGCCCCACTAGCAATTAAAAAAAATACTTATGGAGCTGAGCCCTTCTTGAGGAGACGCCAAATCTGCAGCTACTCAAGAATTTCCCAGCATTTTATGGAACCCGAAGGTTCATTACCATGTTCACAAGAGCCATCCACCGGTCCCTACCCTGAGCCAGACCAATCCAATCCATACCATCAGATCCTATTTCTCTAAGATCTATTTTAATATTGTCCACCCACCTATGCCTTGGTCTGCCCAGTGGTCTCTTTCGTTCTAGCTTTCCCACCAATATCATATATGCATTCCTTTTCTCCCCCATTCATGCTACATGCCATGCCCACCTCATCCTCCTTGACTTGATCATTCTAATTATACTTGGAGAAGAGTACAAGTTATGAAGCTCCTCATTATGCAGTTTTCTCCTACCTCATGTCACTTCATCCCTATTCGGTCCAAATATTCTCCTCAACACCCTGTTCTCAAACACCCTCAGTCAATGTTCCTCCCTTAATGTCAGAGACCAAGGTAGAAGTAGTTTCGTATATTCTAATTTTTATGCATTTGGACAACAGATGAGAAGACAAAAGGTTCTGGACTGAATGGTAGCAAGCATTACCAGAGTTCAGTCTCCTCTTAATTTCATCCTCAATCAGGTTTTGATTTGTTATCGTCGTTCCCAAATATCTGAACTGTGTCACATTATCAAAACATCTGTTTCCTATCTTTATGTCATGATTTTTTCCTTTTTTTTTTTTCTTCCAGTAGTCAATGTACACCCAGACTAACAGCACTATCAAGACCAACAACAAATAACAGGAGCCATGATCTCAGTTTATAGTTTTGTACACTGTAGTGTTCAGCTAAAGTAAACATATTTATGATTCAAATATAGGAGACTACTACAGATGGTTATCAAAACATGAAAGCAAATTGACATTTTAAGGTTAAGTACATGAACAGCTGAATTCCTACCAAGAGGCCTGGTGCAGCAGTTAATACTACAGACTTGTATTTTGGAGGCGCTTGGCTATCCCATCCTGACTGCGGTTTTCATACTACAGTTCCTTCATTAGGCCAGAACACTGCTTCTTTCTAAATCCTTCCAAATTCCTATTCAGCATTCACTTACCATTCTATCTGACACCATCATATAATAACCCACACTGGAACCTGTGAACAGTGGAACCATGTGGAAGCTATCTACAGTGACAATATAAACCATGTTTCATAGTGGGAATACATAAAAATGTGAGATTAATGATAGAAACAGTGAAAGACTCTGTTAAATTACATAATTTTTCAATTGTGTGCCCTTACTCACAGGGAGCTGCCCCAGACCCAAGGAAATATTTTAATCAGGTAATGCAACGTACCTAAAGTAAGATAAATGGTTTAGATTTTATCCATCATTTCTACACATATAATTACAATCTTATTACTCACAAGCCTACACTAGAAAGAAAAAAATGTTACGGTATACAGTATAAGCAAAACAAAATGTGAGGCATCTGCTTATGAACTGTAATGGAAATAAAAATGTGTACCTAACAGATATAACACAACCCACCAACTTTCTTGCATATGTAACAATAAAACACCTTTCTGATTTGGAAACCTTTCTCTCTCTTACAACATGCACACATGTGGCCATGCGCATGCCACTGTCTCATAGCAAACGCTGATAATACGATGCTGTACAAAGTCCGAAATTTATCTCCCCCATGGATTCCTAATGAACAGTGACCCACATTATGAGGGAGAGTCAATGTTACAATAAAACGTAATAAAACTGCGTCACTCTATATAGTGCTTAGAAGCTGAAATCATCTAGCTATTAGAATGCATATTTGCGTCTTTAACGGTGAATATATGTAGGTCAAATCGTCACATAAAGACAAGCATCACATTCAGTGTAAAGGCTTAGAAGAGGTTAGAACCAATGGTCATACCAAATCTTTCAGCATGGATATGCCTATAAATGCTGAACTTTCAACACTACTGCTAACACAAAGAGACTTCACTATGTCTCTCTGCCAGAAGCAGCACACTTAATAGCATAACACCTCACCAGTGGAGATCATGGGCTCATTAACCATTTAACTCTTAAGTCCACCACGTGTGAATCCTCATGTCAGACCATAATGCACCAAAGGGATCTCATGGCCTGAATACACACCTATCAACAGGCCTTCATTCATGGGTTACAGTTTTATTGTTCTAGCTTGGGCAAGTAAAATGCAAATGTCTCTTTGTAAAGAGTTCAATTAAAAACTTTAACTTTAAGGTAGAAGTTATCACTGTCTCCAAACAATTCTTAACGTTCTCACTAGAAAAAGGAAAGTAGTCACATTTACACCACTGCTTCCGTTGTCCCTTTGCTCATACTGGATGTGAAGTTGGGTGGGCAAAGAGCTGTTTCGGACATGCTGATGTAGAGAAAGTTCATATGTCACATCTGGATTTTGAACCTTAGCCACACAGTTCCTGGCAAGTCAATTTATACACCCAGCTACCATGATTATTAGTAACTGTAACACACATGACACTACAACAAAGTTCCACTTACAGAGGACACAACATTGCTGGATGAAGGAAAACCTCCAGACAGTGATAATGCGGCTGAAACAGACGCTCCTTCTGAAGAACCACTAGATATCATGCAACTCCTATGCTGCCGGAGTAATCGCTTTTCATAATCCTGGTTGAACATGATATTTCACAGGTCCTCCAAAGCCCTAAAAAATGATTTATAATGATATTACCATTGCAATATCAATTACTCTCACATCTAAAAATATACACCAACTTAGTTCAGTGGGAAAAAACAAATTTACCATATCATGGGCACAAATACATCACTTTAATAATAATGTCCTATAACTACATGACAATCAGCTGAGAGAGAAACGCTGCTGCCCGTGGTGTCATTGTGGTAGCGACTGTAAAGGGAACAGCATAAGGGTTTCCCTTGTTTCAGCACTGACTTTTTATATTCAAGGAGCACTTAATTAATGAAAAAAAAGTCAGAAACTTGCCATTTTTTACAAGACCTCAAATTGACCCCTTTCTGCTTTGAGGCATTCCTAACAGCTTTTATACAAGTTTTGTGAATATTCTTAAGCTCTGAAGCAAATATCTGCCACGGACTTACAGCACACTGTACTACTACTTTTATATTTTATAATGGTGCTTGGTGAATGGCGTGATGATTTAGATTTAAATTAATATATTCTGAACAAAGCATACTGTGTTCTGTCCCAAAATCCTCTGCAATTTCCCAATATGACAATGACTCAGTCATCAAACACAGTATAATCAACATCTCTTGAAGTGTGAGTTTATGGCCTACAGAAAATGCATGTGGAGTTTTATTCATATAAGCCCAGAAGAACAACTTCCCTGTAATACATATTGAAGCTTGTCAATAAATGGTGGATTGTGGGTTCAGTCTGTGACAAAAATAAACAGTCCAAGTGGGATGTGCTTTCTGAAGCAAAAGTTTAAGATGTTTAGGCATGGTAAGAGGCTGGTAATAAAAAACTGTGAAAAGACTAGTCTCAATTAACCCTGCATTCACACCCATAGGAATAATTAAATTTTTCCCATATAAAATAATATGTACATGACAAAGTCACTGATCTGCAGCTGCTATTGATACCTGATGAGGTAATCTTAGTGGTGTGTCAATATGTATAATTTATCAATATGGAGCCAATGACATCCTCACGTCATTTAATAAGTGTCATTACATCGTGGAAATGCAATGGCATGATGTGTTGCAAATCATTTACTTCAGAGCTTCAGATTGTGTCGCAAAACTTGTTCACAAGCTGTGAGGCATGCCAGAGGCAGAAGGGGGGGGGGATTTCTAGCAGTTCTTATACAATATGGCAAGTCTATGCTAATTTTTTACAGTGATCATTAATGAAGTTCTGCTTAAGCAGAGCCAGTTAATGTGTGTAAAACCCCTGCACTGTTCACTCTTCAGTCACACAGTAAACTACCACAGAGCTACTGCAAGCATCTGTTTCAACTAATGCCCTGTATTATTTAAATGTTACTCCATATCTAGGATTTCTTCTTTTCACATATTTTGATGGATCATACTGTTATGTGACAGACTGTGACTATAACTTCTCACCTCAACAGCTCACAACAAGTGAAATTCCTAACTTGCTCTCATTATAACATATTGGCATGCACGGACCATGTAGAAAACACCATTTCTCTGTTGCAGTGCAACTGCTCCTGAGTAATGGCACGACGTATGGCACTACTGCATGTGCAGCCATCAGCATGGACTGCACAGAAAATACCATTCAGCTGTTGTTTATGGGCTGCTGCCTAGTAATGGATTGCTATTGTGACTCAACAATTATTACTCTGAGCGAATATGCCACAATATATTACCTGTCTTGACACTTCCAACAGATTTTAATGTAAATTCTATTAATCTTAAAATCTGTTTCAATGAAACCGTTAGTAAAGTCCACAGTGTATACACTAGTCTAATGTTTCCTATTCAGAATAGCCTGAAACATGCAATGCTTTTGTGGGATTGTCGATACTCCAACAGACAACCACTTCGGAAAGTTTGCGGGCCCTGAAAAGGGCCATTTGTTCCACCGGGGTAGATAGTTTTATGGCCATTCGGCTGGTCTGTCTGGCCAGTGATGTAGGGCTGCATGCGCCGGTAGAAATAGATGTTGGCTACAGTGTGTTGGCTAACGTTGCGGCAGCTGAGTTAGTTGTCTGGTCGCAGTGCGGCAGTTGCCGGAAGTTGCCTGGTGGCAGAGCGTGGTTGCTGGAGTGGCGGAAGCTGCGCCAGTTACCCAGTGTGTTGGGCACGACCACTGGAGAGCCGAGGCAGCTGTCCCTGACGCAGTGAAGAGCTGATGACTCCGAAGACTGATCGCTCTGGACTAAGTGTGATGGCTGACTGGCTGATGTGGTCACTGAAGACTGCTGGGTTGGAGCTGCGCCTTTTATACCAAACTTGGTGGGCAGATCTTAGACTTGTAGTTGCTATTGTGGGTGCTTATTGGCTAGCACACATGATGGTTACGAGTGAGCTGGACAGCGAGAGCTGTATAAATATGAGTGGTGGCAGCAATGTGATTGGTTAGCACACATGATGGTTACAAGTGAGCTGGACAGCGAGTGCTGTATAAATATGAGAGCTGACAGCAATGTGCCATTTACTTAGGAGTGAGTGTTGTCCGTTGATCGGCGAAACAGTGTGATAGTATGTGGGATGTTCCCACACTTTATTGTCACTGCTTTTCAACTTTCCACTACACTACATTGTAACGAAGGTCTAAGAAAACCAGGCAGGATTAAAACTGAATGGAACACATAACTTTCTAGTCTATGCCGATGATGTAAATATATTAGGAGATAATGCAAATACCACAGTGGAAAACACAGAAGATCTGGCTGTTTGGTCTATGGGTAAAATACAGAGAAAACTAAGTACATCACTTGTATTTGTGACTCTTGGAGGGATTTTGGATTTACTGACCACTTTAATACACAACTTGTAATGCCACTTAATTATAGCACCATCGCTAAGTGTTTTCCAGCCCAGAGTGGCTTCACTAGTAGTTGCCTGGTAACCCCCAAGCTGGAGGGCCAGGCCACCCATATTTATATCCCCCAGGAACTGCAGCTCCTATGAGCTGCAGGGCTACGGTGTCCTCATTACATAACCCCTTTGCAAAGACCCAGTAGAAACCCCATTTCCGACAGTTCCTCTATTGTTGCGTGTGTATCTGTTACGACGGGAAAGTGTTTACTGAGCTGTTCCCTACAGCGGCCGTCTATTCATGCTTATAAAAATCTGTTGCCTAGCAGTGAAGGTTTCACTGTTTGCTGCATGGTCACTACCTAGAAACAGGTCTATACACCACAATGCTTCCTTCTTATTGTCCCGTACAGCCTACAAGCATACTGCCATTTATTGTGATGCTTGTGATGCCTGTGATGGGTCTCACCTTTTGTACCTGTGGCTTGGTTCATCCCGAGAGGTTTCCTGATAAGGTGTGAACTGGTCTAGGTTTTATCACCATTGTCCTTCTTTCTGTTAGGGCAGCAAAAGTTCTGAGAGCAGTCAATGTTTCTAATCCATGGCTCATAAACTGTCGTTACTCTTCTTTCATTTTGGAGGGGGCTGACATCTTCATGTCTTATATTGTTATTTATATTATTATTTCTATGTAGTGTTATTTGTATTATCAATGACATAATTCCTTATCCTACATGTAGTGGATTTATGGAATGTAAATAAATAAATGATGATGATGATAATGCACTGGCATTCATTTTTTGGCAGTCTAATGGAAAACTCAACTGAAGCCTCAACCCTAAGCTTTGTGATCTCCACCATGAGAGCCTTCCTGTAGATCTTGCTGCGTGTCCTCTCCTTCTTCAGACATAGTTGCTCCTTAAGTCCTTGAAGTCCCTTATTCCACTGATGCATTCTGGTTTCACCAACTGTCCCTTCCCGAATGTCCCTCCTTTCTGGGTTCCTCAAACAGCACTGTCCTGCCTGCATTGCTACAGACTTCATTTTCTGGATTTGCCTCCATCTTTTCTGGATAGGCATTCATTGCTTCTTAGTTGGCCTTCATCTCTTTTCTCTGTCATTACCTCCTTGTAGTGAGAGACCATCTTTTCCTCCATGGCATATGTCTTGGCCAGCATGTGTTCCATTTTTTTCCATTTTTGTAGTATGACAATATAATGATCCAATGCAGGTTCAAATCCATCCCCTTCTGACAGCAGCTGTCATGAGGAGTGCGACTCTTGACAAAGTTTTGGATTGGATATTGGATTTATTGACCACTTATACACATAACTGTACATGTAATTAACAGAAAACATAACAGGACATACCGTTCTACCACAAAATTACTTCCAATTTAATAATGACTACTACAAACAATAAGAAGGGCTGGCATTGGAAGCACCATCCTCTGGAAATCTCAGCTAAATACTTTTATAATTCCTAGACCACAACATATACGACACCCTAATAAAGTAAAAATAATAGGCTACTTCAGTTATGTAGATGAGACATTAGTAATACAATGAAAAACTTACCTACATAATTCTTACACTACAAAAATTCAACAATATGTCATAATAAAAACCTTCAATTAATATTTTAATTTTTAACAGAATAATATTTTAACTTGAATTTTAATAATATATTTAATTCATTTTATAAAAAAGAGGAATTGCATAATATATATAAGTTGAAAAGTAAACACTCCCAGTCTGTAAACACTGGCCAATGTTGCTGACCACAGAAACGGGGCAATTTAAGAAAAGCTGTATATACTTGATGGGGGGAGGATGTGGAACAATGTAGTAGTTAATACGCGACAATATAACTATATGAACACTGTGGTGGCGGAAAAATGATAAAAAGGTTTTGAGGAAATATACTGATTTCTACAAATATATAGCAAATGTCTCTCACTATAAAATAAACCTTCCAGCAATACTTCAATAAAACGGATAAGAGACTTGAATATAAATACTAACACAGTCAAAAGCGCTATCAACTTCATTTGAAAACTGTTAATTTATTGGGTCAAACTAAAATTATGTATTGCTGCACTTTGGCCAATGGCAGCCATAAACACTCGATGCACAGAGTAAAAGACCAATATGCATTATGGTTAAACAACGAAATGTATTTATAACTAATAAACCTATAACCCAAACAACTATTCAGCGATCAACAACTTAACACATATTACGTACCTTCTTAATGCAAAGACTGTAACACGCTAAACAGAACTTCCGAAAAGCCGAAATCGTCAAAATCACAAACAACTTCCTCGTCTCAATTTTCCACACTTCCACACCCAACAACGGCTAGCCAGCTAATAACCGCTAGAAGGGCTAGGAACTGCTAGGAACCGCTAGGAACCGCTCACAGGCTTCACCGGCTTCAGCGAGTCGCTCTAATTCTCTAAGTTACTAGGGTTACTAGCTAATGGAATTGTCCTGCATTCAGTGATAATCGTGATCATCGTGATAATAATGCGTACGACTCCTGTTATAGTAGTCTGCGTTGGTGGTTGGATTTTGTGGTTGTATTTAAATGAGTTGTTTTGATGGATTTGGTCGTTTTGGTTATTTCTTCCGCATAAAACGGTAGAATATTAGGTATGAGTACCCAGCGGGGGAATACTAAACGTACGCGACCGCAGAAATATAAAAATACAACTGCTTTCAAAAATGACTTGCATGACACTAGTTCCAAGATTAAACAGATGAATGACATCGAAATCATGAATGTGTGTGCCAGATGTAAGAATATATTAGAATGGAAAATTAAATTCAAAAAATATAAATTTATGAAAGCTCCTAAGAAGTGTACGAAATGTGAACAGAAGACTGTTAAAAGTACATATCATATTATGTGCATTCCATGCGCCGAGAAGGAGAAAGTGTGCCCAAAGTGTGGAAAATTTGAGGAAATAGTGAGGAAAACCGATCCCGACCAGCAGAAACTGGAGAGCGAATTACAGAATTTGGTCAGGGGTCTACCAGAAAGAAAGAGACGGACATTTCTTCGTTTGATATCTCGAAAAGAGAAGCCTAATGGTAAGATTACGTGTACAAAATACAAAGCATAAGCAAGCATCCATAGTTATTTATTTATTCATTGATTCGTTCGTTCATTTCGTAAACAAATTATACGTTTTGTTTGCTTTTGCGTTTTTGATGCTCATTTCAGTGTTAATAACTTTAGCATTGCTTAATTATTTAGGTATTTATTAAAAATACAAAGTTGTTGAGGGGTATTAGAATTTACTTACATTCTGTAGGTTCTTTATACGAAGCATGTCCCAACTTCAAACAGGTTGTGATCGACATTATAGTGTCAAAACTGTGATCTACCACCACCTCCTATCGTACCTTGCTTTAAGAAAAAATATTGGTAAAAATAACACGACACATGATGTTTGTTGTAAAAGCAACATACTTTGAAAATACAGACCTACCTTGTTCGTTAGTGAAACGTCTGGGCCTGCATTTCATCCACCAGCTGTTGGAAGTCAGGTGAGTATTGGGCGAGGGCCAGTTTCATGCAATCCTGGAGATGTTCATCTGTCATGTTTGAATGTTGTTTACTGTTTGTCATTTTTAGGTAAGAAAACGCAGATTCACACAAGTAAGTTGAACCGAAACAGGAATGTACAATTTCACTGCATTTTCTTAAGTTGGGAAATTTGTGTCTAGACATTAACTTCCAAAATGATTCTTGTCCAGCACAAGTCTTGAGAAAAATGTAATTTTTAAGGTTAATATCTCATTTGCAAGAGATGCCTTGCTCAATGGATAATTTTCACAGATAGTAGCAGCAGTTTCTCTAATGTTTAAATCTGATTTGAACGGGAATGACAAGTACTCTACAACTGTTCTAATTCTTTGGAAGTTACAGAATCTATTTCCAAAATCTTGGATAACAGAACAGATTTTGGTCACGTACTTCTCTGTCTGAAAAACAAAATTGGGATATTTTTACAGATGGTCCTGCATATTAGGAAAGTGATCAAAATTTTTGTTTGTAAGGTCTGTCATCATTAGCTCAAATTTGCTTTTGTAGGATGAAACTGTACTCATCATCTCAGCAACGCATTTGATTTTACCTTGGTAGTTCAAGGTTCATATCACTTAGTTTACCTGTAAAATCAGTGAGAAATGCCAAATCAAATAACCTCTTTCTGTCTTCTAACTCTGCTTTGTCATCTCCCCCTCGCCTTCAAAAAACTTTATTTTCACTCAGCAAACTACGAAATCTCTGCAAAACTTTGTACCACCTCAGCCACCTTACATCTTTGTGCAAAATGATATCCGGTGTCCCTTTCTCAAGAGTTAGATTGAAAAGCCATCTTTGAAGTGATTTTCCATGAATTGAATTTACAATTTTAAAAGCTATCTCCATAACAGTCTTTGTATTGAGTCTCTTGCTTGTCAAAACCCGCTGGTGAATGATGCAGTCATAAGAAAGGAAATCAGGGAAGTCGTCATGCTGTCTACAGAAGGCAATAAAACCATTTACTTGACCTATCATTGATTTTGCCCCATCAGTAGTAATGGAAACAAATTTATATAATGAAACATTAGACTTTGTGACCAAAGAATAGAAAGAATTAAATATTTCCTTACCCGTAGTTCTCCCTTTTAAAGAAATCATTCCAAGTAGTTCTTTGTCGCTGAAATCTTCAAAAACCATAAAAACTAGTAACTGGGCTGTGTCTCTGATGTCTGTAGATCCATCCAGTTGGAGGGAGAAAGCAACACAACTGGAAACATCTTTCAACAGCTGTTCAGTTGTGTCTCCACACATCATTTCTCTTTGCTGCACAGTGGTGTTTCTTGATAATTGAAGATCTTGGATTGTAGCTATGATCTCTTTCTTATTTTTAAATCCTTCAAAAAGATTATCAGCAATTTCAAGAGAAAACTCTTACAAATTCTCCTTCAGTGAAAGGTTTTCATTTTTTAGCAATCAGATTGCAGACTTTGAAGGATAATTTGGTTGCATTGTTAGAAAGTGACCTTGGTTTTGCCATCAACTGTTGTTGAGCAGCTAATTTCGATTTAAGTTCTTTGAGCTTAAGTGTACGAATTTCACTTTTGGGTGGAAAGTCAGCATCATACGTATTGCTATGGACAGCATTATAATGATGTTCCTGATTACCCTTTTTTAGCAAGGATACTGAGGCGTTGCATTTTCCACTATATTGAGGTAACTGTTTTATCTGGCACACACACACAGACGCTTTCAAAATTAATAAAATAACATGGGCAGAGCACTTACTGTCCCATTGATTACACTGACCTCATCCCCAAACTCTGTATTTGTTTAATGCACAGCAAAGCAACAAAACTCCAATAACAGCTAATATAATAATACATCTCACTTCTTAGTTCAACATACGGGGATTCACAGTTGACTGGTGGAAGGGAAGGAAGTGAATCACACGTTCTATCGATCACTCTTGCATCAGAACACACACAGCTGACGACAGGTGATGAAATAAGAGTTCACGTGATAATGATAGAGTAGGAACTTCCCCACAGTTCACTTAACACAAGTGTAAAGGAATTTTCATGTAACAAGAGAAAAATAAGATTGACTAATATGTATTTTCCCTTCAAAATCTGAATATAATCATATATTACAAGTGAATTTAGATGCTTTTCATGTAAAATTTCCTTATAGGCCTATGAGATCGACCAGAAATTGTCCTGCAATCGACGCGTTGGACATGCCTGCTTTATAGGAATAAGCCAGGGATGTAAAACAAGTAATTATACAAATCTAATGTTTCAAATAAATATAATTTAAACAGATGTACTGCTATTTGCAGATGTGTTATAAGATTAAATCTTTCCACCAGAATGCAGAAAAATCCCATAACTCAAAGATTCTTTGAAAATGTGTGGAGAGCATTACTCAAAAAATTTCTACTCAAATTACTTGAAATACTGATAATAATAATTATAAACATTATCTGAACTTGACACCTATGGACCCCTTTCCCAATATGATACTTAATAAAATAACTAAAGAAATTAAAAAAGTTATCTCTTCTTTACATTCAAAAAATTCTTCTGGATATGATGAGATTTCGATAAAGACACTATTGCAATATTTTAGAGCAAGAACATCATAAAATACACTTGTCACAGTATGCTGAAGGTTATCCCAAAAGGTTTTGATGTAATACAGATTGTACAGAATACAACTTTTACAGCTATGTGTCACTACATTTTAATTGTTCCCATCTGTTTAATTCCGAGTGATGGAAGTAATCATTCTTCCATGTTGGCACTTTTATTTCAGGCATGGAACCTTGTTTGTTCCCAAAACTGAACAACAGTTTTAGAATCTCAAACATGGTTTATTTTTGTCCATAATCATGGGATTTATGGTATGTAGAATAGAATGGCCTTCAAGTCCTTTGTTATTCCCCAGAACTGTAGTCATGTATGGTATATGTGCCTATAATTTTTAAATAATGATACTGTAAGATAGAGGTGGTGTCCTGGTGCTTAATTAAATAAGCACAATAACCGGTAAATGGGTGTGGAGGATTGCATGTACCACTTCACCATTCGTGACCTCTACACTAGATGGAGGCAAGTGCTCAGGATCAAGCCCTGGCTGCTTTATGCCTGAGGAAGGACCCCACTGGATTAGAGAAGAATATATCCTCACTGGGAACTGACCCCTGGCTGTACAGCCTGTAGTCCATCACTTATATTATTTATAAAGGTTCAGTTACTAAACTAGAGATGGAGAAGTGATTTTTTAACAGTTGTTAATTTTCAAGCTGTTAAAAAGGGAATGGAAGATGTTGACATGAGGCCAGTTTCCTTGCTCTCTGTGCCCTATTTTATCTTATTATCATAACAACTATGAAATGTTTTGAGATTTTAGATTTCTAGGATGACACAATGTGTACCAAATGAGACAGCCTCACTTTCCTGTATACTATAATTTTGATACACACCATGACAACCTCAGATCTTATATGCAGTGATTCCTCGATTTAACCTTAAACGTACGGACTTTTAAATTGCCAGGAGCCCTGTACGGCCAGAATTTAAATCACCCTAATTAATTATCCCTGCAAACTTTCAGAAAAAAATGCATATTTTCTGTTCTATGCAACATAGAAATATCTGAAAGACAATAAAATTTTCTACATGTGTGTAAAAGAGCAAGTTTTACAAATGAAAATTAACTGTGAATATTTTGTCATGAAATGCAAAATATAATCTTTATTATATATGTTATGAAATTCCAAAGGACTTACCCATCGTTTTTTCTTCAACCTTGAATCATGGTGATATTGTAAATATGATCCCACTATATACAATAATATTTTGTTCAGACTGTATGCGAGTTTGAACTACATCACTTCACAGTTTACGATAACTCACACTCTGACGCGCGTATGCCACTTCTCGAAGCAAACCTCCACACATAGCGCAACGTCACACTTTTTTACAGTAGTAGAGCGTGCTTCTGTGCTTCTTATTCTGAGAACAAATATGACGTCTTTGTTTTCCTTTGGCTGGCCAGTGTTGTGAATGTTTCACCTCCAGTCGACTCAGTTGGGCCCCAGATGAACTTGGCCTCCCCTGAGGAACACCATTGACTGTAATATTTGCCTCATGCGATTGAAGAATCAAATCCCACACCACTATTTCGCGGAACTTTTTGTGTGTCATTTTTCCACCACATGACTTGTGTGATAGATATGCATTCAGAATAGTCATATCTAGAAGGTGGAACAGCAGTTTCTTTGTCCACTTCCATGTCCTCCTAGCAATGCCATAACTGTTTACCATCCTGTCAGATTTATCAACAAAGCCCATGTGTGCATTGTAGTCTTCAGTTACATGGGGTTTGACAGCATGGCCAGATTCATCTCGTGAGTTGC